CACCTCCCCCCCCCCACCCCCCTGAGATCTCGGGAACTAAGACAGCTGGAAACACTAAATTCAGAGGATGTGTTGACCTGTATGTGAAATCACGTACGGTAAATTTGAGGTTCCTATGTTTTGACTTTCGGGTCAAATAGGGTCAAACAAGTTCAAATTCCAGGTTATTCTCTAAGCTGCCTCCAAAACCCAGATGGCTGTTTCTAAGCAAAAGGTCACACGTTCATACAAGGTCATTGACCTTGTTTGACCTTTTGAAGGTTACGGTGACAAAAATCAGTCAAGACTGCTCTGAGTTTTGCATTTAAATACGCGAGAAAGATAACGCTAGGTAGCATGTTCTAAAAACAAAATGTCGACCTACGTCATTCTAGGTCAATGACCTATTCTGACCTCTAAGAAGTCCATTGTAGATGTATAACGCAGTTCCTGTTTTCAAAAAATTCAAAATAAGCACCAGTGGCCATCCCATACAGCAAGCCCTAGAGTAATAAAACAGATTGGTTTTGACCTTGGTGTGAACTTTATTCTTGACCTTAGGTAAACGCAATTTGCTCATTATATATTTGAGTTGCCTGGGAAAGCATCTCAGAAATGCATGGCTTCGTCTGACACTTCATTGTTACATCAGATTGAACGATTCCCTAGAAGTTGACTTCGCTGAAACCATGGCCTGATTGTGACCTGTCATAGGTCAGCGACCTTGCAAAGGACATCTAAACTTTTATGTCAAACGATCTGCTATTCAGTTGTTTACAGCTATGCAAAACATGGCACGGCTGCGCCGGGCCGTTCGGAAACCATTTTGGAAAAACCTTCGGGGGATGAGTCAATTTTACCTCCACCCGAGCGCGTGTAAAGGTCAATAAACTGCAGAAATCAGGTCTTACACAACCGCATGGAATACATCACCGGTGTCCTTGATTTACCATGGCTTAGTAAACTCTCTAAGCCGACAGAATTCAGAATTTTTTCATAATGGTTTGTCCGCGTTCTACAAACATTGGAGACATCGCTAAGGTAGATTATAAATCGATATGTTTGATCAAGATTTGAGGGTGAAAATTTTGATTGTAGGTCGAGTGGTCAGTAATGTGTATCAACATCGCCAAGCCATGTTTGCCTGGAAGTGTTTATCATCCAGTCAGAATTGATAAGTGATGCAATCTATATAACAAGGTTTTTAGCATGCGTGCTCTCAAATCTTAGCAACAAAAACCTCGACACCAGGCGTTGCAGCCTCCATAGTCCGCGGAGCGCTAGTTCAGTGGTTAACTTTTAGCCGCACCTTACCGATGGATGAAAATGATGACGGTTTTGAAATATCTACCTATAAACACTTGAATCGGTCAGCAATAAAAGTTATGTGACATAATTTTGGGCGTGCGTGGTCGCAAATCTTAGCTTAAAAAACCTCGACGCTAAGCGTTGCAGTCTCCGTGGGCCTCGCAGCGTCGGCTCAACAGCTAATACTGTGCTGTGGTCAACGGATGGACGAAAATGATGACGATTCTAAAAGAAATACCCTTGAACGCTTCAGGACATCAAATCTTACATCCACAAGATGTAAGATTTGTTGTTCCACAATAGTGATGCCCCTTATTTTCTTCCGGGCAAGGGAGAGTGGAACACCAATGGCACATTACCGGTTCCGGTCATGAGCTGAATGGCCACTCCGCTTCTGGTTGATCCGGAGGCCATTGGAGGAATATATCATATCGCATTTCTCCCCTCCCTGACACGGAGGCCTTCTGACACGCGCAGTTGGCTCCGGATCAGCACAGGAACCCTCATTTATGCGACAGCATCCCTGCTTGCCAAAGGTGGTCCAATAATTGTCACACAGGCTCCAGTTCTGTGCTTTTCTGTTTTCTTCATAGATATTCAGGAATCTCTGAACGTAGATTGTAAGTGAAATGGAGTCCTCTGTTTTCATTAGCATGTCTAATTCACCGTTCGTCTTAAGTCTTATGTCTTATGTTCGTCTTAAGATGTTCAAGATTCAGTCAGAGTTGATTATTGACAACAAAAAAACTACGCCATGTGGTCTCGAATACACGCGCTCGCAAGTCATATCAACAACATCCTGGACACCCGGCGTTGCAGTCTCCATAGGCCGCGTGGCGTCGGCCTGCGGCTGTGATATTGAACGATGACCAATAAGAAAACGAAAAAGATGACGTATCTTGAGGAAAATAGCTGGTAAACTAGGTAAATCGACATGTATATTTAAATGTGGTGCAAAAGTAAGCTAAACACAACCTTAGTATGAAAAGTGGGATGGCACAGTGCTGCCCCCCCCCCCACCTTGAAAAGTGGGGGGGGGGGCAGGGCCCCCTGTTCCTACTCCCATCAGCTCACGTACCGGCAGGGTCGCTACGCCCTGAGAGGAACAGCTTGCGCTGTCCGCCCGTTACCGGAGCTGGGACCCGACGGGGCGCTAGTCCCCTACACCGGCTGAAGCCGGTGCCCCTGCGGGGAATCGTCAAGGATCGAGGACGGTGGTGGCAGCTGGTCGAGAATAGACTCCAGCGGCGTGGCATGTAATGCTTGCGTTGGTGGTAAGTGTATAGAACAGATGGCTGGCTTGACGGCACCCAAGTCTACAGTAACTGCGATAGCTTGCAGTTCGGTGCTGAGAGTGAATTCTGTGCAGGGTACGTTAGTTTGCACTAAGACAGATACATCGCTGTGGGCAATGGTGTGTCAACCAAAGTCTTTTTAAAGGTGCGGTAACAACTGATGGCGTGATCCATGTCAGGCGAAAGCTTTGCTTCCTTCAAACAGGCAATTGTGGGGTTGCGGACGAAAAAAGCCTTTACAAGTCAGTCACGCTGGCTCTAAAACCGCGCAGGTTCCATTGTAAAATTCAACGCGACAAGAAGGCTGCTTGTCGGTTATTAAAAGGATGTCAGCGCTTTAAAAGTGAGACTCGGTTCCAGTTCTCGGCCCGAGCGGCTGCACGTCCCGACGTACAGCCTCGGCAGATCCAGACCGAGCCCTGGGTCAAACCTTTGGGTTTTCACTCTCAGGGGGATATATCGACCAAGGTGGAGTGCGTTTGGCGTCACGTCTTTGGGCGGGGGATGACGCGTCGGTCGGGGTGCGTACACCCGTGATCCTCGGCGGTGGCATTGGGGGGCGTTGGGGCCGCTGACGGCCGCGGGTCCCGGCCGCGCTGGACTATGGTCCACCCCTCGACCCCACGCTCCCCAGTGGGTGGCAGAGAGGGCCTCGCAGAGGACACAATCTGCGGTGAAGTCCCAGCGGTTGCCGGATCGCCAATGGGTGCCATGGCGGCTCTGGGGTCCCCTGACACGTTTTCTCCACGAAGGAAGGAGGTGGTGACCGCATGATGTGCCAGTAACCAAGCTATCAGCTGAATGAAATCCGCAACAGTCATCAAAGCTATCAAGGCCACATGAGGCAAAAACCTGGCTGGCGTCAGATGGTGCTAACGTGGGTCTCACGGACGAGACAACGGCGTCACCGTAGGTCTTTTTAGCGGTTCTTTCCTTATACTTGCGCTGAACGTCTTCGAATGAGTCCTTTACTTGGATTGTAATAACTTCGTTTTCAGCCAAAAACACCCGGCACTTCCTGAATTAGGCAGTATGATCATCACCGCAGTTGGAACACTTTGCGTGCTCAGCGACGCAGTCACGAGACTGGTACTTAAGGAAACGCAACTGGAGCACCGAGGGTCTCATAAACACCTGTCTGTGACGTTGCCGAAGTTTTGGCAGCGGAAACATCGTGCTGGCTCGGTGATGTACTGCCTGATCGGAACGGATTGGCATCCCACCTTGACTTTTGACGGCGCTGACGGGATGAAAAAGTTAAGAGCTATAGCGTCTGTGTCTGTAAGCTTCCCGTTCTCCCTTGTCCTAATTCGCCTAGCAACAGTCACTTGACTCCTCTCCAGTCCTTCAACGATTTCTTCCTCCGACGCTCCTCGAAGATCCCGACGCGTCATGACTCTTTGCCATGAGTTGTTGGTAGGGTGATGTCGCACGCTGACAGCAGTGCTCACGGCGCCTTGGCCTCTCACACGGCACCTTGGCCTCTCACACGGCACCTTGGCCTCTCACACGGCACCTTGGCCTCTCACACGGCACCTTGGCCTCTCACACGGCACCTTGGCCTCTCACACGGCACCTTGGCCTCTCACACGGCACCTTGGCCTCTCACACGGCACCTTGGCCTCTCACACGGCAAGTAAGCTCCTTGGTCGCCAGTAACAGTCTCGCGTCTTTGCGGTTTCCGTAGCGAATCTCAATGGAACCATCTGTGCATCTGCAAACCTCCTTTGAAGTGCCAAGCCTGGAAAAAGCCTGCTCGCGCTGGATGTTGGGATCGGGCCTGCGCGGCGGTCCGACGTCCAGAAGATGTTTGGGGTCATCAGCAGCTGCAGCCCGGTCTCCAGTGTGGACAGTAGCGTTTTGGCTGGAGGAAAGGATGTATGTGTGGTTGTTTGAGAGAATACGTGCCAGTGATAAAATCATTCGGCCCTGGAGCTCCTCATCCACCATGGAGCCCAACTGGGGGACGGATCACCACCCCCTCAGGAGATGCTTGCCGCCAGGGCTGTCACGGTGCTATGCGGGGCGAACGATACCTCCTAAATGGACAGGTGTAACCGGGAGAGTCCTCCCCGTCCTGACCGTGGTTGAGCGCCGTCGCGCCTTGACCCCTTAAGCCGCTGCGCACGGCCAGGCGCCCCAAGCGGAAACCCGTACAGAGCATCCATGATGGAGAAGGAGAGGACGGAAAAAAAGCAGGATGCTTACGTACCGGCAGGGTCGCTTTGAATGCTGGCAGCACGCACTGCCGTCGTATTTAACAGCATTGTATTGCAACGAACAGAGAAAAGCGGTCTGTAGTGGCCAAATCAATTTCCCTGGCTCGCGCACACGCGACGCTACAATCTAGAGCACGTATTTGTCCGTTCGATTCCCCATCAATGCATGCTACTCCCAGCCGCCCCGTGCACTGTGTGCAGAGATGCGGCACAAAACGTGTATAACTGTGGACAAGAGAAAAATCCGTCATCCTAAGTAAAAGTCACTCACCATCACAATTTTAGGTGCCCTTGCCGAGATGTAGCGCAAAATGCAAAAAAACGGCCGGTGGCGGCCAAATCTATCTTGCTGACTCGTGCACGTGCTGCACGCAGCACGTGCAACATAATAATTCATGCAACATCATTGTCTGCTCCATTTCTTATCAATGCATGCCACTCCCCAGTGACCCCCACGCCTTGGGTGCCGAGATGTGATCACGCATAGTTTTGACGGTAGCTGCAGGTAATTAGGCTCCGGCATCTGGCAATTCGCCCTGCAATTTACAGCGCAACGGTACGTCGCACAAACTCGCGATGCGACTGAAAGTGCACCACGTCAATTGTGAATGTTGTGGAAACAAAATTCACGCCTGTACGCGCACGGCGACGATTGCAAACAGTGCGCCGTTAACCACCATGCCTGAGCCGAGACCGCGCCTTCGGACAACCCCCCCCCCCCCCCCCCCGTCCACATCCGGACAGACTGAAAGCACGCCAGAACGCTCGTTCTTTTGCATAAAGGCCGGGAATATGACCAAAGTCGAAAGCCCGCCACGCGAACGGCCATTTACACCTTTAACGCCTAGGGTGTACGTCGGGAGTCGCGGTCTTGCCTGCTTGCCGCCGTCGCGGCGAAAAAGCCGTCATGTGCAACCCCATGGTCTAGGCTCATTTGCGAGCGACATTTTTTAAATTTGATCAACGTAAGGGTGCATCAGGTGCATCACCAGAGGGAGGACGAATCGGCCGACACGCTGGTGTAACTTTCAACGCCGTTGATGGAAGGGCCAAAAATCAACGGCCGCGTCCCACAATCAATCGCCGATCCTACACAATAGGTTCGGCCGCGCTGCACAGAGCGCAGACGAAATGTGCTCTCTCCTGCCGGCAGCCGCCAGAGGTCGCCAGCACCGTGCGGCCTGTGGCCGAGTCTTTTTCACACTGCGCGATATTTTGGCAATCATTCCACCTAGAACCGTGATTTAAACTACAAAACAAACGCAATTAAAATTTCGAAATTTTTTACTTAGCGCAGCGAAGCAAGCGTGCAAGCGCTTGTTCCTCTCTATTTCAGTAATTGCACCTGCTAGACCTGAATTCTGGTAATCTATGGTTAGCTACAATGCGTTTAGGTCGGGATCCGTCAAAATCCGTGGCGCTGCTCCCGTCCGCACCAGTGGAACCGTCCGTGCGTGGTCCTGCTGGTGTGGTCCGCTCCAATGACGTCATTGTGATGTATAAGATACTCAAAATACTGTTAGGAAAATTAAGGGAGCGACAATTCCAGCGCAGGTGTTCCAAGCCTGCGCGCGCAAGAGCAACTCAAGTGCCCGGTGCGGTATATGACGACCGCAATTTACCGCTATTTATTTAATTGTGAAAGGGCCTTACTGTTTGCCACTGTTTACCAAGGCACGAACTACCGCCACTCACAACGTTTGATAGGATGGTGAATGCTGAGGGATTAAGGGCTGTGTTTAAGAATGCTGGAAGACCGAAAGACTATCAGAGTCATGGAGCAAAAGTGCACTCTGTTGACTGGAACTGTGATGGAAAGCGGCTTGCTTCGGGATCATTTGACAAGTCTGTGTGTGTGTTTATACTGGACAGGGATAGGCTGGTAGGTGGAGTTTTTTGTTTTTTGGTACTGTGTTCCAGTGAAAGTATCTCCATCTAATTGTTGGTATTTCCATTCTCCCAGTTTTTTTTCCTAGGAATAAGACTATTGCTCCTGTCTTATCTTTCTTAAGTTATCTATGACAGCCAGGTCATTTATCCACTAAATACCAATATGTTCTCATAGTTGCCTGGCATTGTCTCAACAGGCACTTTGCACGTTCTGTGTGATAAGTGCTCTAATTGGGCCAGCACGCAAAAAACTCCATCCACATACCAATGCCTCACATACCCTTACTTGTGTGCAGGCAAACCAAAGCCAGGTCAACTGATGCCTCACATACCCTTACTTGTGTGCAGGCAAACCAAAAGCCAGGTCAGAGTTTGCTGAATGTTTGTTTGTGTGTGCACCAAACTCTGGCTAGCCCACATTGGGCCAAATTCTCCCATTTAATTTGAAGCAATGTTTTCAAAGCCTTTTTGACCTGAAAGCCCTTTTAAATCTCACACATTTTTTGAAATGTCTACTTAAATTAGTTAGGTTCATTAACCTTTCAGGTGGCTGATGACACAGTTGTGTAATGGGGACATTTGTAGGTATTTCAGAGTGTTATGCCAGTGAACATCAACTAACATTTTAAGACATGAAATTATTGTGCTGCTGCCACAAGCCTGTGGATTTATGGAACATTTGCATATTAGAACAGTGCATCTTTGATCTGGCTTAGCAACATTTACTGATGCCAATTCAATTGTCAATTATTCATTCTGGTAAACTGGTTCTGGTTCATTCATTCTGGAGGCATTTTTAGGAGCTCCAGATTGCTTTGCAACTGATGATTATGATTCTTCTGAGTATGATAAAATACCATACTATAACTTGAAACTGGGAGGCAAAAGTGGAGTGTGAAGGTTTATCAGAGTTGGAAGGGTCTTGACATGAATTCTTGAGTGTGAGTGTTAGTGCAAGAACAGACTGCGCAATCATTTAAGCACACAGTATTTTTTGGAACTAAACCACAAAGCAATTGCCTGTGAACTTTTGTCATTAAGGTAGTATTGTAGGGTGGCACCAGTATAACTGTGATCTCCATAGCATGCTTAGAATGCTGCAAAGCAAACAAACATTTGGCAGTGGGGCTAGTAGGCCAGGTAGTGCCTGTGTCAGATGAGAGTAATTGTTAAAAAGCCTTGGGGCGATTGCTATCATGTGGAGTGGCCACTGTGGGTCGCTGCTTCCAGCCAGTACAGTGGTCGTTTGTGCCCCCAGATCAAGGATCACACGTTTCGCGGGCACAACGACAGCGTGGACCAGCTGACTTGGCACCCGAGTCACGCCGACCAGCTGGCCACGGCCAGCGGCGACAAGACGGTCCGGCTGTGGGACGCCCGGTCTCAGAAGCTGGCCGCCACCATCGGCACCAAAGGTGCGTGGGGGGCGGCCGCTGCTGGCGCCAGCGAGATTTCGGGTTGGGAGGAATGCCCTGGGTGGAGTTCGGCAGACGGACGGTGGAAGCAGTTGTTCTGTACGAAGTTTGCTATCAGTGGTATGGGATGTTCCCCTTTTTCTCGTAGATGTGTTGGCAACCCCGCGTGGCGAGTGGAGCTGTTAGTTGTTTCGTTGCGTTTGAGCGTGACGATTTGAACGTCGCACCAGGAGAGAACATCAACATCTCATGGTCACCAAACGGCCAGACTATCGCCGTTGGCAACAAGGAAGATCTGGTGTCGCTCATCGACGTCCGACAGCGGAAGATCCTGCGCGACGAGCAGTTTCGCTTCGAGGTCAACGAGATCTCATGGAACCGGGAGGAGAACAGCCTTTTTTTCATGACGTCAGGCAGCGGGCACATTGTGGTGCTCAGGTGAGATTTTCATGACGTCAGGCAGCGGGCACATTGTGGTGCTCAGGTGAGATTTTCATGACGTCAGGCAGCGGGCACATTGTGGTGCTCAGGTGAGATTTTCATGACGTCAGGCAGCGGGCACATTGTGGTGCTCAGGTGAGATTTTCATGACGTCAGGCAGCGGGCACATTGTGGTGCTCAGGTGAGACGATTCGTCGGGACAATCACGACTCCTTATACTGGTGGGTCTTGCACGGCAGAATGCGAATGCATCTTGGCTGTGTCGACCATGTCCTTAAAATGCTGCCAGCTTCTATCTGTTTTGTTTTTTATTTCTGTGGGGATGGCGAGGCCTTTCGGTATGGCCCACTGCCGGGAGATTTTCTACTGGGTGGTATGTACACTGGACGCGTCTTTGACATGTAGGTATTTGTTTGTTCCTCACCCTGTGCCACCTTTCATGCATCCTTTTAACGCGGCCACTGTAGCCCATGGTGGAAAAATGATGCGGTTGGAAATGATAAAGTGGATCACAACTATCTTCGAAACTAAACCTGCGTGCCATTCTGAACTCATTTCCCGTATCTATAGATCTTTCTGAAGTTCTGTCATGGCCCCATGTGCCATGCGATCGAAAGGAGATGGTTGGGCTCATCACCTTGACTGCCGGCCTGCTGGGTGTCAGCCAATCCTCGTATGTTGGCGTAGGGGCTTTATGTTTCGGTTCGTTCTACGCCTGATTGTGGAGATGCATATCGCTGTGCATATGATCTGCTAGCAAATTTAGGATCTTAAACTGACCCATATAAGTAGCATATAGGAATAACCGTGATCCAATCATGAGCGTGTTCATGGGCTGAACACTAAATAATTGTTGATGGCTGGCTTTGACGAAATCATGGAAGTCGGTCACCATTGGACTTGATATTCAGTTGGTGGGGTCTTAGCTACTGAAAATGGTGTTGCAGGAGGGCAAGTTGTCACATAAGTTCAGTGTAATTCGCTCTATTTTCGGTGTGCACCGTTACAGTTGCCGTGAGATATCTATGGTAGTCATAGAGAGTCGGCAAACAACGAAAGATGATACGGGAGGGTATCTGCATCTCAAAGATATGAAGATCGCATGTCCCGTCCTGCTGACCCTAAAGGTCTGCTCGAGTCCTCTCACCTGCCCCCGCCCCTCTCTCACCCAGCTACCCGGAGCTGGAGCTGCAGCACGACATCGTGGCACACCCGGCCAACTGCATCTGCATCGAGTTCGACCCGACCGGCCGCCACTTCGCCGTGGGCTCGGCCGACGCGCTTCTGTCGGTGTGGGACGCTAAGCAGCTCATGTGCCACCACACCGTTTCCAGGTCAGCGCCCGCTATAGCGCCACAACGGGCGGCTGGCAGGCGGGCTCATCTTAGATCAGCTTGGAAATACCTTGATGAAATCATCAGTATTGCGCCCAAATTTGGGCTATCTTGTTCTGCCAGGGAACCAGGTGCGTTTCTGGGAAAAGCTGCTGATAGCGAGGCGGGATTACGAAGACGAAACACGGACATCTTATATCCAAAGTGTACCTCTCGATTCCCTTGCAGAACATTCTGAAGCATCGCTCAGATGTCAAAGGGACAGTGATGATGATTGGGGATTTAGGGCGCGCCGACTTCTGAGGCCACTTTGCGTCCGTAACAGCTGAGTGGCTACCGAGGTGAACCAGAGCAGGTTTTCCCCTCGTCCAGCGCTTACGCTGCTTCCAACGACCAGTGCACGAGCAGATGCGTAGCTGACAGTGGGTGGTCGCACTGCACGCGAAACTCCATCTTGCCCCACTTTGTCTTTTTGGACGTCCAGCTGGCATGCATCTAGCTGCATGGACAAATTGAAAAACGGTTTTACGTCACCTTTTTTCAAACGTCACTTCTGGAACATGATGTCTTGGTTTACCGAGATACTCAGGCTGTTCCTACCCTAACAGCTGTTCTGCCAGGTAGGAACAGCCTGAGTTGTCAAGTTATACTGTGATACTTTGATGTTTTTGACGACTTGAACTCGCGTGATGTTTTTTATAAGGTTTGTTGTTATGTGTTATGTCATATGAGCTGTTTTCAGCGATTCATACGGTATGACAGTCATTATCAAGCTCCATCAACAACAAAATGTTCTGGTTTCCTTGGATGAGACGACAACACTGATCAGCAAGCGTCATTCTGGGCCTTAATCCGTGTCGCGTCGGCCGTTGCGGCAGGCTGGACTGGCCGGTGAGGACGCTGAGCTTCAGCCACGACGGCGAGCTGCTGGCGGCTGCGTCCGAGGACCTGCTGATCGACATCAGCGCCGTTTCCAGCGGCGAGCGCGTCACCACAGTGCCCGTGCAGGCGGCCACCTACACGGTCGCTTGGCACCCAGCCGCTACCTGCTGGCCTTTGCGTGCGACGACAAGGACGAGCGCGAGCGCGACGCCGGCACCGTCAAGCTGTGGGGCGTGCCCGAGTGAGCGTCCGCCGGCAGCCGGTGCCGAACGGACACAGCAGATCTGCGGCTGCCGCGGTGGCGCGTCGGGTACAGGTAGTGGCACTTGTGCGCAGCAGGAAGAAGCACGCTGGGGCTGAGGTGTCGGCGGAAGTGTGTTTGTATGGCCCCCCCGTGAGAAGACAATCACCGAGTGGCTGTGCGCCAGGTGGGGCGCGATTTGTGTTGTGCTGGCCACGGGCGCCATACCGGTGGTATGGACGGTGATCAGATGTCGAGTTCACCGTGGCCTGCTTGTGTTTCTAGTAACGCTGCGGGCACGCCACAAAGGTGCTGCGAATGATCTTGTCGGCACGCATTGACGTTACCGTGAATGTTGCACAGTTGTGCATGGAGGCTGCCAGGCGCTCATCATTTCATACATAAGTGCCACAGTGTTATCACGTAACTTATGCAGTGATTCACGATGTCTTTTGTCTCATACTTGGCTTCCATGACCCTCCGAATCTGGAGACCAGGTGGCCGATATATTCGCCTGAGCACTAAAGCTATGATGCTCGGACAGCTGGCCATTTAATCCAGTATTTTGATCGCCGCGCCGGGCGTGCTGTTGTTCAGGGCATTGCTTGGGTGAGCGCACGTGCTTAAGATGGCATACAGACAGTGATGCAGGCAGGGGACACATGCCCCTCACCTCGAGCACCTTCTCCCCCCCCCCCCCCCCCCGATCGGCGATTCTTTGTTGGACTATGTCTTCCCTGTTTTCCGGTCGGCCCTGCTGAGCCTGCTCTTCCCTCGTCCATGGAGCGTCTGCCCGACGGGCGCGGCAGGGCCGCTAGCCAGGCAGGCCGCCATTTCATCCTGATGCCTCCTGGTACCCGATTGTGGAAGAGCTGCGGCACGGCATGCAAACATGCGCTGAGTGTATCTCTAGGTGAATTTTAGGTTTTTAACCAGACGAGCTGCAAACGTATGTGCACTCCTGACACGTTGCTACGCGTAAGAGTGTAAACAACGACTGAGTTCGTCATGCATCAAGGTAGCGGTTTCCGCTGCGATGCATCCGTTTGAGGTGACGAAAAAAAACAGCCAAGAAGCGTAATGACACCATTCCGATATGAGCTGAACAAAAAGTGTTTTATCCCGATAGGCCTTACGATGGTTCATTCTGTTCGAAGTCCGGTCATTCAATGCCGGTCCGTTACGGGCCTTCGTAAAATGTGACGTGTAATAGTGGTCTATATGTACTGGCGCTGCATGTCTTAAACATTTGGGAAAACGATCAAAAGATGTTACGTTATTGGGAAGCAATTGCAACCACTCAAGTCACACCTCTTCACGTCAAGACGACAACGATAGCGACACGAGGAGAAACGACCATCACATTTTGATGCTCCCTGAGGTGCGACTTCTTTAGATATTTGCACTTTCTGTCAGTGTGTTCACTGGAAAACCTAGCTAGGGACTCCTTTACGGCCAGCAGGTTAGTGGCACTATTCCGACAGTATAGTCGGCTGCAGCCGACTGGAGGGCCGCGGTCGTCTCGTTGACCAGCCAGGGGCCTTGCTGGCGGTGGGCGGGCGACTGCCGCCGTGACAGTGGAAGCCGTTGTTGCCCGGCTCACCGCCTGCCGACGCTAGTGCCGGTGGATGTTCTGCGATCTTTGATGGCCACTCGGGCGGCAGGGCCGAGTCGGACGGCGGCAGCTGTCGGCTGGCAGCTGGTTGCTGGTGCCGTCGCCGCTGTTGCTGCACGCGTGACCAGCGGCGGAGCGCGGCCTGTTGTTGGTGCTTGTGGCCGGCGCCCCGCTGCCGCGCCAGGGAGGCGATTGCTGGCCGGCCAGACAGGCTGTCGGACGGGCGAGCACCGCCACCTCCAGTGTAAGGTGCTTGTTAAAATGCGTCTATGGGCGGTCAGTGATAAAAGAGTCTGGGCACGACAACTGAATACTGGAAAACAGTTCCCGTCTTCAACTCTTGCGTCTCAGCCAGCAAGGCACGATAAAGCCTAGTCTCTTGGCCGCCATTGGTAAATCCAGCCGGGTTGATATCATCGCGGTTGTGGTAGAAATACGTTTTTGACATTCATTGTTGTTCGACACACGTTAATATGCGGCGCAATACTGACGCCCGTACCATTGTGCTTTGCAAATGTCCAAGGGTTTTTGCCTCGTTGAGGTGAACATCCATTTTTATAACTTAAGTGATTGGCAGTTTGCTCTCCTTTCTTTACCTTGCAGGTTTGTCGATGATATTAAGGGTTTATGAGCGCGTCGACTACATGGCCATTTCGCGCCCTTTCAAAAACTGTCTGCTGCGTACAACTTGTCAGAGCCGTGTCATTTACGTATCAATCCATCTGTATGCATATACCTGTTGGACGGCTATAAACAATTCCGAGGTCAACATGGGCAAAGGAAACGAGTATATCGACAGTATCACAACATGAGTCTCGACCCAGTAGCTAGGAGAGGGGCGCTGGTACGACGTAACACAGACGGTCCTTGGCGTAGTGACGACACGAGATCAGGACATGTTCAACGGCCAGACGCTCGCAGCTTCGCTCGCATTGTGGCATGCCCTGGCCCAATGGTTGTTAGTAGAACGAGTCCGTGGCGTACGTGTGCTCAAGACGTGGGCGACGAAGAGCAACCTCCTCAAATCTGTTATGTTTATGGGACAATGCCCCCTCCCACGCCAGTCAGTGGATTAATGGTCCTAAATGCATAATTTATTCGGCACTCATTTTGGCACCTTCCATGAATATGCCTAGTAATAACCGACTTCAAGTCACCCACGGCAGGTTGATGAGCAGAGGGTGGTCTCCACATGCGACTGCTCTCGCTGCGGCGTCCGTTCTGTCGTTCCGACAATTCCCTGGGGCTAGGAATCCATATGAAGGTGATTTTAACGTTTCAGTAGTGTAGTTTATAAATTTCATCCCAGACAGATCGTATGAGGTACGGATGGCCACCCGATACTGAGTTTGGGTCTGATGATGAGCGAGGGGTACAGGGGCAATGAGCGAGTCATCTAAGATAATAAAATCGCATTCCGTGCGACATGGGGCATATTGCAACGCCGTTAAGACGGCCGAAACTCCAGTGGAGAATACTGGTAGTGCCGTGGTAGGCAAAAGCCTTGCTCTGGCGCGTCTCTGCCAACCAAGGCATAGTCGGTGCCAGCAGCCCTTCAGGCAGTCAGTAAATATCTTTACTGAGCTGCGCTGAAGCTGGACTCGCTCCACTGCCACGCTGGCAATCTCCTGTACGGGCACGCCGTATTTTTTAACCTGGTGAAGATCTGAGTCAGACAGCGGGATTGTGCGACACCGCGGGGACAGATCAGCAAACGCGCGCTGAATGTCTTGTCAACGTGAGTGCCCGCCTCACCTCACCAATGTCGCAAAACGCAAGCACATGGATTTGGATGAAGTGGACCGCCCTTTCAAGAACATGCGCGTCAACGTGCACGAAAAAATGGGGAGGGAATTGTGACCTTTTGATAGCGTACTTCAGATAAAGTTGTATTCTACGGAGCTGAAGAAGCGGTTCGTTGGCTTCTTTCAGCGGGTATTTCGTGCGGGTTGTGCGAAAAGCCCCAGTGGCAATACGGACACACGCGTGGTGGACACGGTCGAGGGCCTCTTTAGAGGATGTCGGGACGCTGTTTTAGACGGGACTTGCATGGTCAAGCCCTGGGGTATAAGTCTTCCATAGAGCCTTAGCAAGTTGCAACGGTCTGTACCATACGTTATGCGGGACATCACCTCGAGAATATACATGCGTTGATGATAGCTGACTAAGGTGCTTGACGTGGGGTTTGGAAAAAGTCGCCGGTCAAAGATAACGCCGAGAAGCTTCAATTTGTCACAGACCGGAATGATGGAGTCGCACTGACGCAGCACAGGGTCCCTGCACTCTTTGACACGAGTACAAAACTGTATGCATTTGGTTTTGCTCGTCGAGAAGCTGACACTATTCTGGACACTCCATTCATGTACCCTTAAAAAGGCGTAGCTGAAGTTGCCTCGCAGCAGATGATGTAGATGCTGAACACCAAACGGCGAAGCCATCAAGAAGTGACGGCCGGCTTAAATGAGATGGTAAGGCGTCAGAAATGCCAATGATCATCAGGGCAAACAAAGCAACGCTGATCACACGGCCTTGAGGAGCGCCGTTCTCTTCTTCCAATCGGTCCGCTAGAGCGCCGCCGATTCGAACGCAAAAGAACCTCCGTTCTAGAAAGATCTGAATGTACGCAACCATATGACCACTTATGCCACATGGAGAGTATGCCGCAGGGCCATGCTGTGTCGTATATTTTTTCAACGTCAAATAGCAATGAGACAGTGTGTTGGTTTTGTTCAAGTGATTGTCAAACAATGGTACCTAAAATCGCCAGGTGGTCCATTGTGTTTGGGTTCTTCCGAAGATCACCATGCATATTCAAAAAATACCCATGCTTTTTAAGGAGCCAAGTCAGTCGAGCATTTACCATATCTCTCCAAAAGTTTGTATATCGATGATGTTGGGGAAGTGGGGCGGAAATGCAGGTCGGAACCATCCTTCCCCGTCTTTAACATTGGAACTATATAAACTTCCCGCCAGGTTTCGGAAAAATCATCCTCAATCTAGATAAAGTTGAAAAGTCGAAGTATAGTTCCCTGCAATCCGTGTCTAACCGAACTGACATATCGTTGTGGATTCCGTCAGGTTCAGGGGAAACACCCTTTGTCCGTTTGACAGCTGAGCGCAGTGCTGACATAGTAAAAGCAGCGTTATGCACTTGTTCCGGTGGTTTAAAACTCATTGGAACAGAGTCACACTCCTGTTTGTGGCAGATAAACCTGGGGTTAGTCTTACCAAGTTTGTAGAGCCCGGCTACTGTCAAGCCTATTTTGTTTCCCACTTCCTATGGCTTCGCCAGAATGCTTCCTGTAACCTTCAGGACTAGGACTGCATTCGGGACAAACTTTCCAGATACACTCTTCACCCGCTACCAGACTTGTGCCTGGTTCCCAATATTTCTTCCCGGGAACCGGTTCCTGGTTCCTGGTTTCAGAACCAAGAAGAACTCAGGAACTAATATGACAATAAGTCGTAAGATCCAG